AGCAAACCTCTTAGTTACTTCCAAGATAGTTTGATTGAGCAACCTGAGTGTGGTGTCCTTCTTGTCCTTTGTTTGTTTAGTATTGTCAATACTGTATTGATTTATTCTTTTGACCTTTCCCCTTTTCCTATTTTAAAGATAAAATGATAAAAGTCTTTGCTTCACTTCTTTTTGTTCTCATGTTGCCCACGGAGTACTCAGGCAGCAGATGCAAGACTTTCAAAGTAAGCAAAAGGAAAGGCGTGGGCGCCGGACTTTGCTGCAACCGCTGTCCCAATCATGGACCTTGGTGTAGCAGCAAGGAAGCTGAGTCAAAGCCAGAGTCAAAGCCCTACAAGCGGACTCAATCAACACCTGCCCAAGCAGTCAAAAGAACAAAAACACAGAGGCACAGCTGCATGTTTGGCAGACTTTTGCAATTTTGCATATTCTGCCTAGACTAAAGGGATAAACAACTAGTAACTAGTAGCTAGAAACTATTAGTAACAAGGGCATCGCTACTGGTAACAAGAAGCTACTAATAGGTCCTGGCATTAATACTAGGAACAAGAAGCTACTAGTTTTGCACACATCAATTGTGTGAAGTTCTTTCCTTAGATGGTCGTTGCAACGGTCGTTCAGGAGTGAGACACCGGCAACGAAGGCGTTTGCAGCAAACGCGTCTGATGCTTCCACAGCAAACGCGGTGCTGCCGAAGCTTCATCTCTGTGGCCGTGCACGGAACCTCTCACGTGAATTGCGCTTAGCGAAGAAAAACCCCAAACTCCAAGAAGTTCGACAAGCGCAGGAGGACGCCTCTAGGGTGGAGGCCATCGCAAGTAGGGAGGAGGCCATTCTCAAATTTTATCGCCTGTTCTAAACGTTTGATCGATGCGGGTGTGTTGGGAATTGTTCGGGCAACAAATACCCTGCGTTACCCTGGACATGTTGCTGAGCGCTTCTTGCCAAAAAGCAGAAAGGGTCTCCGGAAGCCAGAACCAAAAGGATGTTTAAGGCTGTTAAGTCATGGGTTACTCCCTCAAAGTAGGAATCGCCTTAACTTCCAAGCCGGTCTCTATCCATGTAAAAACACGGGTTATTGAATTGTGGCCTTGTAGTCTATTGTTTTATCAATGATAGAGACCTTCACGTTTTCGCAGATGCGTCATGGATGGTGGAGGAAACCCAATTCAGGAAGCTTACAGGCTTACATGGAAGTCGGTTAAAAGGACGATCCAGCCCTGCAAGTCCTTTGATACCTTTCACTGTCCAGTCCAGGATATCATGGCAAAGGACTACGAAGCCAAGCGAACATGGGACGAATCGACCAAATTTCTCGCCATTGGTGGCCAAGCCACCATGGATGTCGCCAGCAAAGAGATGGCGCTTGCGAGACTCGGAGGCGATGCGATGTTCCAAGTTTTGGAAGGCTTTCGCAACTCGAAGACCTGCACATGGAGAGAAAACCCAATATCAAGCATTATCAAACCAAAAGCAAGGGACGCTCCCAGGTTGGAGGCCATTGCCATTCCCTTTTTTGGCCCAGGAAATCGGAAGCTGACCTTGCAAAAGCAAAGGAGCTGTTGTCCCAAGCAAATGAAAGTAGCTGCTTGGTGCCAAATCGCCTTTCCTTTGATCCGGATCGGAAGGCTTGTTTACAACATACCGTCATTACAAATCAGATGTGTTTGTTCACCAATACCATTGTGCCGTTGTTTGACCACCAGATCGAACCGGCTATTTCAACGTTTCGGTTCTGCATGCCAATGTAAACGATTTTCGAGTGTCTTTCGAGACAAGACACAAACTGCTTTCGACGCCTTTTTCGAAAAGAAGCTCCCTTGTAGGTTAGGCTGATAGATCGTGGTAGGTTGGGCATTCCAGAGTCAGAGTGCGGAAATCGATTGAGTGGACGGGGAAGGGAAGGTTGGGAAGGTAGGGAAAGAACAGCACCGGGGGAGAGCTGGAGCGTCCCTGCAGAACTTTCGAACCAAGGCGGTGCGCATCTGCGGAGAGCAGTCCATCTGGCAGAACGTGGGCCGTGGGACAAAACGAATGAGAAGAAGAAAGAACCAAGCGTCATCGAATGGCCTCCAAGAGCGGCCTCCAACCTAGGAGCGATGATGGCCTCCAACCTAATAGCAATGGGACTTGAAGTGTTATGGAAGTTCTGTGTTTTGTCCTCAAAGGGTGGCTTAGACAAAGATGAAGTCTGACTAGAAGACTACCCAGAAGCCTTGCAAAGCCTTGCCTCCATTAGGGTCTATCTCAATCACTCCAGCGTTCGCAGGGAAAGTTGTGCAAGATCGATGCGCCGTTCAGAAGGCTCAGGAGAGATTGAATGAAACCAAGAGCACACTGTCACGGAATCGGGTCGCGTGAAGATACAAAACGTGGAGTGATAGGATGTACATACCAACAAGATAGAAAATGGAAGAAAGGAAGGACAAGTGAAAGGCCTGAAGGTCTACAGACGAAAAAACAACAAATACAACAAACAACGGCATGTCGTTGCCTTTGGAATAACTCAAACACCTTGCCCAGAAAGACATAACTTTGATGCGCAGGAACTCAAGCAGATCGATGCGCAGCGAAAAGAACTACAACAGGAACGGGAGAAGAACGAGCAGCAAATGCGCGAAGCTTTGGGAAAGGTGGGATGAATCCAGCACGGAAAACAAGGGATGAACCTAGCATCAGCAATTAGTAACGACATGTAACAACAAGACGAGATTGGAGGGTAGGGAAACCTAGGGCATGGTAACTCTGAACAATTACTGATGTACTGATGCTGCGCCTGTTGAAAACAACAACTAAGATGGTATTGCAAGGATTTGCGCTGGTTTGTATACACGCTGATTGAGCAAACATTACATTCGCCTCGCAAAAAAGATTGTGGCTCTCCTGGTCTTTGTGTTCGAACAAAAAATAATGCAAAACAAGCATCGCTTATAGGTTGGAGGCCATGGCCATTCTACTCAACGCCTAACGATCGATCTCTCAACGCCTCACGCCTCTCCGTTTCCAGGTGAAGGCGCTGAACAACGAGCTTTCTAGGGCTCAATGTGACTTGCGAGCTCCCTTTATTGCAGTGCGCTTCAAAGACAAACAGTTCCCAGAGTCTGGATATTTGGGAGCTTTAGAGGATGCTTTGGACACTGAGTGGTGCGCAAGTTTTCTACAAAGAGGTGACGAGGTGGAATCGAACGCCATGTACCAGTTGTGGTTGTTAAAGCTCTCGGCATTTTCTTTTAATAAGAAGCTACTAGGGGCTCCTGGCATCGCTACTAGGGGCAAGGACGCTAGGGGCTCCTGGCCTTACTACTAGGAACAAGAAGCTACTAGGAGCAATGGCATCGCTACTAGCAACATATGGTTCTGAACTTGGCAAGGAAGAAGTTAGTCGTTTTGCCTGCCCCCCCGTACTTGGAGCCTGGGCTTGCCCCCATCGTGTGCAAGATCTCGTTTTGGAAACTGCTGTGCCGTTAGGGGAAGCTATCAAAACGTTGTATGAACACGTCTTTACTGGTAGGAACAATGTTGTGGTGCAGTGGGATGGTCTGGAGTAGGGCAAATCGCTGAGGAAGCAAAGACAATTTACTTTTCCACAAAAGGGAACTTTGCACGCTTGCATTTGCTTCACAGCACTTTTGCGTGGACATACACATTGAACACCTGGCATCATATATTTGTCGCATGCTCCTGTTTGATTCTTTTTGAAGTTTTTCTATTTTTAAGACTTGCACAAACACACCAATCGTCTGAAATGCAAGGGTCCTTAATGGTGCCGCGACTGTGTACAATACTGTTGCAGAACACAAGTGCATAGGCAGTCGCAATTCCTGTCGTGAATGCCCTGCCAGGTTTCACTTCCGGTGAAACTCCTGCAGCCTTTACTAGACCAAGAGCCTTCTCACTCTGAAGTGATTTGCGTGGAAGAGATGCTAGGCTTGATAGGATATTTGATGTTCAATGATTACTCTAGTCGGGGCTAGTCCAATCAAAGCAAACACTTGAGGACCAGTTGCGCTAAATGCAGGCCCGTTTGGGTTACAATTTGGTTGCCGAACGATACTGCAGACGATACTGCAACCCATACTACGTAAGACCAGCTGACTTGTGCAGGCTCTAGTTTCAAACATGCGTGACTTTCCAATGAGTGGGCTTCAACTCTTCAGCTTCCAGAATCAACGATATTTTGCTACAGCTTTGTTTTTGTCCTTGGAGAGGAACGTTGCATTTCGAAAGCTGTGCAACTTTCCAAGCTTCGATTATGAACAGAAAGGAACGTTTAAAGGTATTAATTTCACAGAAAGAAGGAACAACACACTTTCAAGGTCCACAGAAGGAAAAGGAACGAGCTTCATTGAAACGAGTGGTTGGAGTAGGTTGCAGGCCATTGATAGAAACAAACAAGAAACGGAAGAACGGTCTTTACTTTGAGTTGGCTAGTTGGGTATTGCTTGGAACCTTTGGTATTGCGGCCCATGAGGACTGACTCAGCGAAGCGGCAGGGCTCCAGCTGCGGCCCCTGCGGCCCATGCTACGTGAGGATTTCGGTCGAACGGGCTCAGCAGCTTCTGGCGTGTTCCGTACGTCCTGTGCGTGTACACTCATTGATGCTGCTGCGCTCCTGGTTGGGCCTGGATCCTCAGGCGCATCCAGGGATTTGTACACTCATTGACCCCTCAGGAGCATCTACAGGCGAAGTCTTCGCATCAAACTCGTTGCACAGTGTTAACCACTCGTTGCACCTTAGCTTGCTCTTAGCAGCTGCATTCCAAATCCACGGCGCTTTCGTTGGAAAAGGGGATGCAACGGGTTCTTATGGATGTCCAGGTCTTTGAATAAACAACTTCTGCGAAAGACAGCTGTAGTTTGTTACAAACCTATTACAGCTGCAGGTTTTCTTGTTACAAAACTACAGCTTTTTCAGGGGTGAACTACAAACTACAGCTGCTTTTGTTCACCTGGTCCTCACTACACTAGGAGCAAAGGGCATCGCTACTAGGAGCAAGTAGCTACTAGGAACAATGTTTGCTATTAGGAACAAGAATTAGAATATTAGGAACCAGAAGCTACTAGGAACAAGTGCATCGCTTCTAGTAACAAGTGCCTTACTAGTAGTAACAAGAAGCTATTAGGAACAAGAAGCTACTAGGAACAAGTGCATCGCTTCTAGTAACAAGTGCCTTACTAGTAGTAACAAGAAGCTATTAGGAACAAGAAGCTACTAGGAACAAGTGCATCGCT